ATTTTTAGAAGTATAAAATTCTAAAAAAAAAAAAAAGAAAAGTCTGCTTTCAAGTTTTTTTTTCCCCTGTAAAGGTGGGAATGAAGGGAAAGTAGGAAGTTTTTGAAATTACCATAAGTGGGGCTTTTAACCTATGTTGATTCCTCAGCAGAACATCTGAGATTGTTAATTCAAAGAATAAGGCAGAGGGGAGTTTTATTCTTAAAATTTTAATAGTACTGAGAGATTGCACCTCAGTTTTATAAGTATATAAAATCTGCTGCCCCTATATATGCCAAACATTTTAAATAAAAATATCTCAAAAGATAAGCCTTAATTTTTGAAACCATTCCAAGGATGATATAGGATATTTAGACATTTTAAAATACACCCCTTGAGCATTTTTAGCACTTTAGGTATAAAAATCAACAAAATACAGGGAATTATGGTCAAATGGATAGAAAAGTATATAGTCAATTTGTTGTGATTTCGGGTAACAAGTATTTTAATGGAAACATGCATGAGAGCACTGTGAAAAAAACTTCTACAGAACATATCCATTGACTCTAAATCAATAAGAAATTCCAAGCACAAGGGAGGGGTAAAAGTGCTCCAGAAAGAGGAATTTGAGAACTGTGAATGGTTGCTGATTATGGAGTTAGTGTAATGGATTTAGAGCTATAATGTAGGAGAATGCTAGAAAGAGACAAAAAAAAAAAAAAAAAGGTATATTTTTTTTCTAGCTAAATATTTTGACTATATCCTAGAGCTGTTATGACACAAGCAAAAAGAAGATTTGCATTGTGAAAATATGTAAGGATAATTTTGAGTAAAAAATAGGAAGAACTGGCCCTCCCTGGTGGCGCAGCGGGTTAAAGCACTGCACTGAGAAGCTAAAGCCACTTCCGCATGAGTTCAAATCCCGCCTGCCCCGGAGGAGACCACATGGCGAGGCAGACCTCTCCTGACCCGCCCGCTGCTCCCCTCAGCAGTGTACTTCGTCGATCTGCCTGTTCTGCTCCCCACTCTGTCTCTGGTGAAGCCTCTCACCGCCCCTGAGCCTCTGGCCTGTACCCCAGTTCTGTATGTACAAATAAATAAATCTTTAAAAAAAAAAAAAAAATAGGAAGAACTGAACATTGTCATGGTATAGTCAAAGAAAGTTTTGAGGGATGAGATAAGATGTTCAAGATTATAACAGGTATTCAATAAGGAGGGATGTTTGGGTAGTCACATTAAGTTTTTTGACAAGAAAGGTTAGTGTTTATAGTTTATTCATTTTGAATCTGAGTGCTATAGGGATATCCAAGTAAACATGTGAAGTAAATGCTTAGAAATGTATCAAAGGATGAGGAGAGATTCTGTTAGGGCCTGTCAAACATAGATGATATTATAAAGCATATATTGTCAATAAGGAATATATCTATATGGATTGAGATTGCAGGTGGAAAGATGGGGATAACAATTTAAGTTAAAAAAATAGTAGTCTCAATAATCAGAATGGTAAGGATGAATGAGAATAACAGGATGTGAGATGAGGTGGGAAAATGTATCAAAAAGGGTGAAATCCATAGTAATTAATGCTTCCATGAAATCTGAAAAATTAAATACTGAAAGATATTCATTTGATTTGATCAAGATAAATTAAACTGTGATTTTGCTAAATGCATATTCACTGGAATGTCATATAAGGGGATAGAGGTCTGATTTTATAAGACTGACATAAATAACATACATCAGTATGTCTATGTATTTAAATAAAGTTTTAAGTACCTAAGATGGTATTTAGGAAGCAAGGAATCAACAAAGTGATGAGAAAAAAATTAGACATAAACAGTACAAATGAAGTTAATGACTGCCACTGGACTAGGAACAACCTTTGCACTTATTTCTCACCTGCATGTCTTTTCCAACTGTCTGTACATGCATTTCATCCATATCGCTTCTCCAAGTCCCTAAATACAAGTCAAAGTCAGAAAAGCAAGAACCCGAGAATCTTCCTGCCTTCCATGTTATAGTTTCACCTGGCTGCTCAGCTCCAGAGCTAGTTCCCTATACCTCACTCATTCAAGCAGTCCAGTTCATGGCACACTGGGAACTGTAATCCAAGGTGACTGTATGTAAATGAGGATGAAGAAAATAGCACCTCTTTTTCACAGAAATGTGTCTGCAATATTGCTATTTCTTCTTGTTAACATTGGCTTCAAGATGGCACATTTACTTTTAAGCACACTTTGTTTTGATACTTATATATTATTTTGATGTTTATTTTGAAATAATTTAATATTATTAGCATCTGCCAACAAATTTATTTTAATCTGTTACTACATTTTCAATGGTTTATTAGCACAAGAAAGATTATAATTTTTGAGAAATTCATTGAGTGAAATTTTTACTGAGTTAGAAAACAAGACAATAATACCTGTATGTATACAAGTTCTGAAAAATTGCAAGCCCACTATCTAGTCAAGAGTGACAAACCTCTGACCCAGAGCTAGCCTCTTATTTTTATAAATAATTTTTATTGCAATGCAGTCAGTTTTACATACTATAGTCTATATACTAATCATCACCTCATTTATGTTATAACATTGGAGTAGAGTAGCTTCAACAAAGAAAAACAATCTAAAAAATCTAAAATACCCTTTGACCCTTAGAGAAAAACATCTCCACTCTCTCGGCAACACCATTAGTAGACCTGAGTCTCTATATTAATTTTCAATATTAACATCTTCAATAATCATGAAAGCTAACCGTATTTTGGTTTTGGCATCAATTACTTTATTGACTAAATCATTAACTGTTGCTCTAATGTAATTTATTGATTGCAAAGTACTCAGTGCAACTGAAAATTCTTTTGGGTCATGTACAGAATAAAGCCAGTACTCTTGATCATACTACATGCAGTGATCAGGACCCCAGATTCTTTTCATTTAGTAAGATTCAGTCATCTTCCATATGAGTTTTCTAAGGTGGCCAAAGAAAAGGAAAGATCATGAAGGATATTTCATGCAACATACCTGGGAGGACTGTCAGTCACTTTTATGCAGATTCCATTGGTCACAATTTAGTCACAAGACTCAACTTACTGCAAGGAAGTTCAAACATATTAATTGTATCCTGAAGAAATGGGAAATAAGTTTGGTGAAAAGCTGGCCAGTCTCACAGAGATCTGCAGACAGAATTTATAAAACTCCCTATTTTTACAATACAGTGGGACAAAACAAGAGAGCAAGTCTATCTTCTAAATTTTTATATAAGAACCTATATAATGGATTGTGATAAATACATGGGAATGTGGGAAAACAGAAGGAGAAGCAAGACTGGAGGAGGAAAAACAATTTCAAAATAATGATACATTCCATTGTAGTGTATGGTTTTAAAAATATTTTGGACCTTAAAAGTAGAAGCTTAGCATAATTTTGGAATACAAGAGACATATTAGAAGTAAACATGTACCCTAAAGATAGAGATTTCTGATTCGTATAAACATAAGCAGTAAGTGATGTTAAAAACTCATGAGATTGACCTGTAATAGCACACAAATAGGAAAGGAGAATTATAAACAGAGAAAGTATTGTGTGTGATAGATTATATCTGCCTGAGTACAAAAGCAGAAATAAACAAAATAGTCTTTGCCTTCAAGAAACTCACAGTGAAGTGGAAACAGTCAAGGAAACTATTGATTATATGTTGTATAACAAAGGCTATTAAATATTTAAAATATGGAATGGGGCACTCAGAGGAAAAGCAACAGGCATGCATATCAATAAAATGGATGTACTGATTAAATGAAGGGATTATATTCAAATATATATCACAAAAAATACTACTCTTTCATATTGTCTATCAAAACTTACACAGGTAGTTGACAAATCTTCCTATAACTACACAGAAAGACTTTTGCCTCCACTGTGACAAACTTAATTTTATTAAAAGAAGTTAAGAGATTAGTTTATGGGAGGCACTGTTCTGCTTTATGTGTTTTTCTCCCATAAATTTTATAACAATACTATATGGCATGGACTATTAGTGTCATTAAATCCTCCAAAATAGGTTTTACTTACACTTATATAGAGAGATCATACAACTTGTAAGAACCTCACATTATCTATCTTTGTTCTTTATGCATAATAGTTAGAAATATCAATATAACTTACTCATTAGTTAGATGAGATTAACAGAAAAATGAAAGTTGCTACTATTATGTTAACTAAATATATGCAAATATTATTGAAATTGACTAAAGTTTTACAAGTCTTATATGTTTATATTGTTCACTGCTTTTCCAATTTTATATAAGATAATTTATTAGGCTTGAAGTTAATACCATTTCTATATATTTTATGATCAAAATTTCATTATTATGTGTCAATATTATATGTCTCTTTTCTCTGTCCACATGTGCATGCACAAAATGAATAAAAAGGAAAATACATCTAAAGAAAATATACAAATATCTGAAATCTCTAAGGAAGTTAATAAAATGTTTTTCTTTTATATTTTATACTTTCTAATTTTTTGTGAGCATGAATCTCTGATAAAATAGTGAAAGCTTTATTTTACAATTTAGAAATTATTTTAGCAAAATAAACAGGGAATATAATTAAATCTATGAAAACAGCAGATGAAACTAATTAGAGTATAAACTGTCTTAATAGAAGTCAAGAGTTGGGTCAGAAATTACTATGGTAAAGTTGCCAGAGAACCTGATAATAATTTTTAGTTGCTATACAAATATAGCTTATGAAACAGAATATAATCAGTGATTTTACAACATTTCCTGAAATCAGTTATCTCAGTTTTAATTGTTTTTCCTTGGTCACCTAGGTAGATAGGAACAAATTTGAGGGAACCACGTCAACTTCATTAAAGTTAAATAATGATCAACAAGAAAAAAACATTTTAATTATTCTTTATATAGTTTAGATTTATATACAGATCTGTTTGTTGATAGAGTATTTCTTCTTTCACAGCATTACTATAGTCTTTCAAGTAAAAATGGCCATTCTTCAAAATGATCATTGGATATTATCTGATGTAATTCCATTGGGAATTTTATTCATTTTCATAATTGCAACTCTTGTTTTAACATCTTGAAATCTTTCACAAGCTTTTTGAAAAATAAACATATCAGCAACAAATTTTTCTTCACGGTTTCTTTTATATACTTCTCTAATCCTAATAGGAACAAATAAGAGTAATAGAATGAAATACTTTTAAATGGCTAAAAGTAGCAATTATTCAAACTCTCTTATTGCATGTTATATCATTCAAAATGATAATAATATTGGGCTGATATTTTTAAGATCTCTATTGGCTGTAACTAAGATTTTTCACAAACCCTGCCTTTATAAGGACTCAGATTTCCAAAGATATATCTAAAGCATATAATAACAGGATTTGTAGAAATTTAACTTACATTTCACTAAATCCAAGTGTCTTTTAGGACCCTGCTATGAACAGAACTCTATCTCCCACAGATTCATAGACTTAAACACCCTAGCCTCCAGTATCTTAGAAAGAGACATTTATAGATAGGAATCGGAGAGATATTTAAGTTTAAATGAGGCCATATGGGTAGGCCCTAGTTCAATATGAGTAGTGTCCTCATAAGAAGAGGTACCAAGAATGTACATGCACAGAACAAAGGTTATATGAAGACCCAGAAAAAAGGCAGTCATCTGTAAGCATCCAGAAAGGCTTCAGAAGAAACCAAACCTGGAGGAACAACAGGTTAAAAGGCAGCTAGCTCTATGCAGCTATCCACAGCCACTGCAGCATGAGTTTGATTTCCAGCCAGGGAGGTGTCACAGATGGCACAGCAGACCTCTCCTAACTCACCCACTGCTCTGCTCAGTAGTGTATTTCAGGAAATCTGCTTGTTCTGCTCCTCACTCTGTCTCTGGTGAATCCTCTCACCTCCCTCACATCTGGGCCTGTATCCCAGTTTGTATACATTAATAGATAAGTCTTAAAAAGAAGAAGAAGAAGAAGAAACCTGCCAATGCCTTCAACCTGGACTAGCTCCAAAAACTGTGAGAAAATAACTTTCTATTGTTTAAGCTACCCAGTCCTTGGTGATTTGCTAAGGTAACCCTTGCTAATATAGTTTCTAACTAACTCAGAGGAAAGTGAAACAGATTACCCTGTCAAACGTGGGAAATACTTTAGGGGAATTATTCATTCATCCCCATTCGGTCAACTGTATTGATAACAGATTATAATGCTTGTAAATATCCCTATATAAAGGAAATACAAATATACAACATAACTATGAAAAGCTTATAGAAAGTAGTGAGAAATAAAACATATTAATATATAAATTAAATGTTTTAGTATCACAATGAAGAAACGATGTAACAAGACAAAGTCAGGCATGACAAAAAACTGATAAAACATATCTAGAAGAGCAAAATGAAGGAAAACAATAAAAGGTTCCAGAGTTTAATTAATCCTTGAACTTAGTCTGGAAAGATGTGTATTTTCCAGGCAGAAAAAGTAAAGAACATTTTTTCTATGCGCATTAGTCTATATAATATGTACAGCTAAAAAAAAATATTAGAAAGGTCAGTATAGCTTGGCAAGCAACAATACTCTAATCCTCTAGGTCATACACTTCTGGTAAGAAAGGTAGGATAGAGCAAACTGGAGAAACGAATTAGAAAGTCTTTGTTTTACATGGGTGTACTAAAAAATCAGTACATAGGGAGTAGAAGAGTGGCCTAAGTCTGAAATTTACTGACAATGTGATTTTGGATAGCTAAGTTTTCTTTACCTCATTTTTTAATCTTTAAAAAAGGATAAACCAATTAAGCTAATCAAAACATTTGAAATTCTTGGGGGTGTCTTCACTGAATAATCCTTTTACCCTGCAGATGATAGAGGCATTGTGAAGATAATTATCTTATCGTAGGAAGAATAGCAAGAAGGACTAAAAGACTAGAGTTCAATTTTGTTAACACTGAGTTTAAAGAGCATGGTTATCCATGTGATGATATACAGAAAGCTAAGTATAGAGTAGCAATGGTTTACAGTTTAGAGTACAAGTTATGAAGTCATTCTGCTTGTGCTTGAAACCCAAATCTGCTACTTACTGATTGTATGATTTTGACAAGTTATTTAGACTATGTCCACATCATTTTCTTCATCTATAAGAATGAAAAATCTAAACGAACTCATATATTTAAAGTCCTAAGTGGCACATCTGACATTTAATAATCACTCAATGAAAAGTCACTGTAACTGTTACAGATTCAGCAGCTGAGAAAAGTACTCATGTCTGGACATGTAGCAGTACAGAAGCAATGGCAAAAGGGATTTTGCAGATATAATTAAGGTCTAAGAAATATATCAAAATAACTCTCTTACAGATAATCATGAACTGTACAAAATGTAAAGCAAACAATTATTTAAAAGAATTGAAGACCAAAATTCATAATATTGTTTTTATATGCACTGGGATCAATAATTATAAAATAAAATTAAGAAAGCAATTCCATTTATAATACCATCAAAAAACATAAAATATATAAACATAAGCTTAACAAAAAATAATGCCAAGCTCTATGATTTAAAACGATAAAATATTTCTCGAAAAAAATTGAAGAAATAAATTAATGGAATAACACCATATGGAATACATTATTTGATACATTATTAAGATGTTAATTATCTCTAAATTTATCTATAGATTCAATTTATAGTAATCCCAATTACGATGCCAAGAGACTCTTAAGTAGAAATATTTAAATCTGTTTTAATTATAAATAACATTTAATTTAGATTAAGATCTCTTTCCTGTGTATTAAAGTATTTTTATTTTTGTTAAATGTTATGGAAATGCAAATATCCTAGATTAACAAAGCCATCTCAGCAAAAGGACAAACATTTGATCTTAGATGTACTGACTTTCAGCAACAATCATGTGTTATCTCATAGATATGGTAGGTCAGAAGTCCAGACAGAGGTTGGCTTACATGGATTTTTCTGCTTAGGTTCTCATGAGACTAAAATCAAATTGACAGTCTGGCCTGTAGTTTCCACCCACAACTTGAAGATTTTTTTCTAAGTCTGCTGACACTTGGCAGAGTTCATGTTTTTCTAATTCCTTACACATGCCTGCTCCATTCTCACATGAAATCCTTCTTCCACAATTTGAGTTTGTCTATCACTTCTGCCTCACATTTAAATGCTAAAATGGTATTTTGACACTATCTAGATATCAAAGAATAATATCCCTACTTAATAAACAATTAATTTGCTACATGTACAAAATCCTTTTCGCTATTAAGTTGCATGTTTACAGGAGTGGTATGTTATTGTGGGGATTGATCTCCTAAAATTCTAGACAAGCTTTTCTCAATATGCTCATGATAGACCTTTTCCAATATGTCACGTTGTGTGGTGAACTAAGGTCCATTAAGACCCTATGGGTCTTAGAAACTCTGTTACCATTACTTAAAGCTTATTTTAAGTTAAAAGCGGTCAAGTCCTCAGAGGCAGAGAGATTTGTCCTAATCTTGGTCATTTTTTATTTTCCTGATCAAAGTAGCCATCAGTATTGCCTGTTTTTATGATCTAGAAAAAAATCTACTTAGGACATTGTCATTCAAGTGTAACATTTATCAGTGACCATGTACTCCCTAAATGAGAAACTCATCTTCCTTACTTACAGAGTAAAAGGATCAAATCAACATGTGTTTGTCATTTGTAGTCTCCCCCTCTCTTTTATTTTCCTGGTCTGCCCCATTTTGAACTTACTTTAGAACTTACAACCATGAAAATTCTCTGTAGGTATGCTATTAAATTGACATTTCATTTGTTAACCCATATGATTTTGTTTCAATTACTTTCTAGTCCAAGAATTTAACAGTATTAGGACATGGGACCTTCTTTGGAAGACTAATTCTGTCTAGTACAGAATACTTGCATTATCCAATTCAGTGCTTACCAAGAGCATAAAGAGAAAAATTATTAGCTATAACTAAAATATGGGAACTAAATCATAAAAAGGCAGAAAGAAAATGAGAGTAAATGTAGCAATATGTAGCACAGAGATACAGAAGTCTGAATAGATTTAAGTTTGAGAGCCTAAAATTTCTTTAGCAACTAAGTAAAGTGACTTGCTGAGGAGGAAAGGTCAGAAGTAGTGAGTAGATAGCAAGAACTACAGTTTGTGAAGTTTGAAATCACTTTTGTATGTAATTGAGAGGAAAGTAAGCAATTGAGAGGGAAGCTAAAGTTGGAGGTTGCAAGAGAACAAAACTTGCTATCCCAAAATATACATTTTTGACATATGAATAACTTTATGGAGGTGCTCAGAAAGTCGGGTAGAGGTTGCCTTGGTTAAGAGGCCGTTATATCTATAAAGGATGTCTCCATTTGCCAGGGTACCTTCCCTAATGAGAAGATCAAATATCTTTAACTCTTATCGATGAAGAAAATAGCAACTTAAAACTGTGTATCAGTCACAACATCCTTTATTATGACTTTCCTAGAAACCTCTCAGAACTGACTTTGTCCTTACCCCTTCCACCAACAAGTTTTGCCTTTAGCTGATGTTAGGTAAAGGGTGACTTAAGTAATTTCAGTGAGTTACACAATTTTTACTAAGTCTTTTCCTTATAAGAGGTTTACATGTTGTTATTAAATTTATGTTTTATTATTTTATATGTCAAACTATTTTATGATCATCTAATCATTTTCCAGCCTAGAAGAGGTGAGGGAGTAATATTCTTCTTTCCCTCACAAGGCAAAAACAAGAAAGTTTAGCATGAATCCATAATTAATTTCTTCTAGACATCATATCAGAATATAAGAATGAAGAGGGTAATCTAGGACATCAGTTGATGAGTCAAACAAGGGTAAGTAAAAGATGATGTAATTGGGGACCTCCCTGGTGGCGCAGTGGGTTAAAGCACTGCACTGAGAAGCCTAAGCCACCTCCACATGAGTTCGATCTCCGCCTGCCCGGGAGGAGATCCACATGGCGTGGCAGACCTCTCCTGGCCAGCCCGCTGCTCCCCCCAGCAGTGTACTTCGTCGATCTGATCTGCCTGTTCTGCTCCCCACTCTGTCTCTGGTGAATCCTCACCCTCCGCAGTACCCCAGTTCTGTATGAATAAATGAATAAATAAATAAATAAATCTTTTAAAAAAAATGATGTAATTGGACAATTGTCTTATAAATCAGGTTTTCCATGTTAATTGCCACTGTAATTCAACATTGGAAAATTATAGGTAATACTTTCTTTTTGGAAATCATGAGTAGCTTTTACCTAATATACAAATTCTTTCATTTCAAAGTCTTTTTCATTCATTTTTAAATCGGTATTTAAATTCATATTTAAACTTTGACTTTATTAACTTCCTAAAGTAGGATGGCTCCTCCTTTTTATAAAAAAGAATCTTTATTTGATAGCAGGATCAGGGAGACATACTCAATAAAGACTTTACTAGTTATTGAAAATCATTAGAAGTTTTTAGGTAATTTTTTTTTTACATCTTAATGAAGAATTAACCAGCAGAAAAAGACTCAAAAGTTCTGAAATCTATAGATAGATTTTACTTTTTTGAGTCACAGCTCTTTACTGCATGTTGGGACAGAATCTTTATTTGAAATTATAAATTGCATGTGTAATAAAAGTTAGTAATGCCTTTTAGGACACACTATTAACATAACCAAACCATTGCATTATTCATGTGTCCTTTCAAAGATAGTATCCTGGTAGCAGCTAATAATGGAAGATTGTATTAGCAAGTTCACTTGACCCTGTATCTTCTACAATTTAATGATGGCAAGACATTCAATTTTCTGTGATAGAATTAAGTTGTTTAAATTTCTCTAGCATTCATTTGCACTCGATTTAAATTTTGGTATACCAGACTAGCTTTCACTTTCTTTTTCAAAATACATTATTTATTAAACTAATTCATATTATTTCCAAAAATCAGTCTCTATCCCTCACTCTTCCTTCCCTCTTATGCACATATACAAGCACACCTACACACAGAGTATACATTAAGGGATATTTTTTAAATTTCAAAAGAGGACAATATGAAATATTTCCATCCTTAAGAAATATTATAGAAATCTTTGTAGCTGCTTATTTAATTTACATTTTGAAGTGCTATCATTAAAAAGATAGTTTGTCTTAGAAATGAATATTAAATAAAACACTTGCTTTTACAATTATAAATATTTTAACTAATTACTAATTTTGAACTGAAATAGATTGTATTTCTTAACACAAACTATCTTTTGTTAATGATAGCACTTCAAAATGTAAATTAAATAAGCTGCTACAAAGATTTCTATAATATTTCTACATAAGCCATAGTCATATGTATTTACACAGATTAGCCACTTAAAATAGCACCAAGATAAAAGTATACTGATAAATTTCAACCCTGTATAAGAAAAGTTAGAGTAAAGTCATTGAAAGAGAAAAAAATATAATTAATAGGGGGCACTGTGAGGTAGTGTTCAGAATTATCTGTAAATTTCAATCTGTTTGGGCTACTTTATACAAGTCAAGTAAAAGTATACAAATAATTATTTTCTAAGTAACTGTAAATGACTTTTGTACATTGGATTACAACTGAATATTGTGCAGTGAATAATAATGAGTTTTGCACTTATGATATTTTAACATTCTTGATTGCTTATATATATGCATGCTCTTTAAGTTTTCATTTGAACTGGTCGTAATATCTTATTAATCCCTTTATTAATGAATTAAAATCTCTGACAAGCTTATTTGTTTATTTTATATTTGTATGAGTGAAATTTTATGTCTTAAAATATACTACATAGTTTTATTAAATTTAATTAAACAATAAAATTGAAATTTACTAACATCAGTTAGAATATTTTGAGTCAACATTAATTTTCTTAGCATCCTCATTAAGTATATTTTAAAGTAAACTAAAATCATCTAGGAACAATTTAATTTTTTTTCCATTTACTTAACAGAGCTTTGCCCAAAAAGTTGTCTGTTGTTTATAGTATTCTAAGACATTTCTTGTAAAGATCTGAACTTTGAAATTTTGCTCATCCTCTTCTCTATGTCTTTACCCTGTCATGTCTCCTTTCCAAATTCTGTTCAATGCTGTGTGCTGCCTACCTACTTTTGTAATAATCCAAATATGCTAATATCTGGGATTTTAGTGAATCAAAAATGTCTTATTGACCTTTCTGGGGTGATGTAGGGGAGAACTAAAATGGAACAGCACTTTGGTGTTTAGTTAAAGCTTCCCTTTTAGGGTCTCCTTGGTGATACAAGGGGTTAAGTAGCAGGTCTATGAAGCTACTGGCAGCTACTGCAGCACAAGTTCAAAGAAGCTGACTCTCCTGGCATAGCAGACCTCTCCTGTCTGTCTGGTTTACTTCTCCTGTCTGTCTGGCTTACTGCTCCTCTCAGTGGTATATTGCAGTAGCTCTGCTGTTCTACTCACCATTGTGTTTCTAGAGAATCCACTCATCCCCAACACCTCTGTCCTATATCCCTATTCTTGTATGCATAAATAAATGAATCTTTTTTTTTTAAAAAAAAAAAAGTCCCTTTGAAAATTTCCTAATTTACTCTACTTAATTACCTACCATTTAACTAGAAAATTTAATTCTCACTTGATGGTTATTGTATTATTTGTTAGTCTTATTGCCTGATGACTTATCTCCCACCTGGATTTTAGTGTGCCTTTAACATTTTTGATGATATATCTTCATAATATAAACATTAAAAACATTAAGCATTGTTTCTCCTTCCAATGGCTTAAATATTGAGTGCAAAAATATAAAATTTCTTTCCCAGAAAGACTAAAATGGGATTATATAGAGCCATTACTGATTTTAAAATGAGACTTTATTAACCTATTTTCATCAATAAATAATTATTGAATAAATTCTGTTAACTAAAATTTAAGTGAGTTAGTTATCTAATATATTGGGATTGAAATGGAAAAGACAGACCATATTATCTTACAAAAATAAAAGTGAAAGATAAAAGTTGATATATGTGATAACTGCCAGAATTGAAATTTTAAATTTCAGTTCTATAGGTTCTATAGGAGCAGCACCAAATGAAAGGTATTAATTCAAACTGGAAGAACAGTTGAGGAGAGATGAAAAATGAATGTGTAATTTCACTGTTTATACAGCTCATGCACTGCCTGATGGGGGCAAGTAAGGGTAAATACATACAGTTCACTAGCCAAGTTTCATTCACTAGTGATACATCTTCCTGGAGAGAGTGCCTTTTCCTACATATAAAGGTACTGCCTTTTCAATTTGTATACTTGAAAGCACTTTAATTTGAATAATAACATAGAAACTTGTGTTGTGCAATAATATGTACATGACATTGGGGGCTTGTAGTGGCTTTGTGAAGTGTACATTTGAGGAAAATGAGTACAGCATCAGCAATGTCTTAGGGATAAAAATGTACAAAGTTGGGTTGGAAGTGTTGAATAATTTAATCTGCAGCAAAGAGTTCTATTAGAAGAGAAAGGAGACTATAGCAAAAATATTAATGAGATTAAACAAGATAAACTGAAAAACAGCATGATGACTGAAATATGACTCAGAAAACAGACCTGATTCTGTGGAAACCTATATGGCATTGACTTATTTAAATAGAAAATACCTGGACAGAATATTTAAAAGACATGAGGTTTTTCGGTTAGAGAACAGATATTAGCAGAAGGGTTGGAGATGTAGCTCTCAGTTCTAAGGAAAAAATAAATTTTTAGAGGGATGAGTTGTAAGAACAACATAAATTTTCAGAGGGATTATGACAGTATGAATTAGGGGTGTGAGAATGAAAAGGAGGACCAATTTGAGACTCTTGTAAATTAAAATGAATAGGGAAGAATAGTAGAGCTTGGTAATAAAGGAAACTGAGTTATAAATAAAAAACTCAGGTTTTTAACACTGGTCAAGAGACTAATGATGATGCCATTTATTATAAGAATAACCATCCATCATGAACAGGTTTTATTGGATGATGATGAGAGGTTGAGACAAGATAAAGTTGTCTTATTGTCTAATCTTTGGTAATATATTAGGACATATTACTCCTTTCTTTGCTGCTTCTATTTACAAAGTAAAATATATCATGTTCTAAAATACTCCTTATTAAATCTCAATATGTAGTATGCAGTATTCACATGTAATTGACTTGAAAGTTTCTATTACTCAAACTTGTACCTACCTGTTATTATTCATTTGTTTATTTAAACTCCTTTGATATTTTTCTGCTTCCCATTTTTGCTTAACAATCTTGCTTTTCTCTTTTAAGACTTTCTCATTCTTCTTTAATCTGTCAATTTTAATCATTCCTTTGATCAAATGAATACGTTCATTATTTAAGCTTTGAATTAATAAACGGTCTTCATTCTTGCGATTTTTTTCTTCTAGGAACACAGCCCTTCTCTGTCTCACTTTTTCAAGGTAGTTTAATCTGTCCTGCCAAAGTTGTTGTAAACCATTCTGAATTATTTCATTATCTTTTCTAATTAGTTTTTGTGCAGCATGTTTCTTCTTACTTAAAGTATCTTGAACAGTCAGGCTAACTCTTTCTTTGGCTGCCTGTGCCATGGTTACAGCTGCTACCTTTTTTTGATGGAGTTCCTGCTTTTTTTTTTCTGAGTAATAATTGTCAACATCACTAAATAGTTGGAATTTTATGCCAGGTCCTTTTGTAGTTAAAAACAATCTTCTCATGTTTCTTTCCAACACAGTCTCTTTTTCTTTAATCACTGGTTTTTGAGGAATGGTAGTAAATGCCTTGTCACGTGGGCGAAAAGTACGGTTTTCTTTTTCTTTCAATATTGCAGCATACTTCACTGAATCTAATGTATATATGGGTAGTTTGAACACTGATATCCTAAAACCAGCATCCAATTCTTCATCCTCAATTTCATTGTCAGAATCCTTTTGACCTATGTCACACAGCAAATATAATACATTATACAAGTGTTAAGAGTTTGTCTCAATTATTCTGAAAGCTGTATTAATAAACATGGCAACAAGAGTCTGTTATATTAAAAAAGAATTCCTAGGCCCTCCCTGGTGGCGCAGCGGGTTAAAGCACTGCACTGAGAAGCTAAAGCCACTTCCGCATGAGTTCGATCCCTGCCTGCCCCCGGAGGAGACCACATGGCGTGGCAGACCTCTCCTGACCCGCCCGCTGCTCCCCTCAGCAGTGTACTTCGTTGATCTGCCTGTTCTGCTCCCCACTCTGTCTCTGGTGAAGTCTCTCACTGCCTCTGAGCCTCTGGCCTGTACCCCAGTTCTGTATGTACAAATAAATAAATCTTTAAAAAAAAAAAAAAAGAATTTCTATAACTGACCTTTTTTTCAATTTGTGATTTAATAGTGATTTTGGAAAATCATCATTGAAATTTGTTGTTTTTTTTTTTTCAATTGAGATAACAGTGGTTCACAACACTGTATGGGATTCAGAGGCATAGGATCCCACCTGCTCTGATGCATGTCTTCACACTGTAGTCCACCACCAAGTCCCCTTATTCCACCATAGGCCATTATACCGCCTTTCCTGTATATTACCTCATGCCTCTTTTGTAGCCTTAATTCTATAGTCATATTTCTAGGTTTTGCTACTGGTTTAGTTTTACTTAACTCTTATAGACCAACAGAACAGAACAGAGAAATAAACTCAAGCATATGTAGCCAACTTCTTTGATAATAGTTCCAAGAACACAGAAAAGGGAAATAAAGGTCTCCTCAACAAAGTGTATGAGGAAATGTATTTTCACATGTAAAAGAATAAAACTGGAATTTATAACACAGTATATACACAAAATCAACTAAAAAATGAATTATAAACATAAATGAAGACCATAAATGGTGAAACATCTTAAATATAGGGAAAATACTTCTCATTTGGCATTGATTTTATGTATATGTTAAAAATACAAGCAACAATTCTACTCCTAGGTATCTACAAAAGAAGACAAAAACACTAATCCAAAGGCACAGATGCATATCCAATTTCAATGCTGCACTATTTACAATAGCCAAATTATGGAAACAACCTAAGCATCCAATGACAAATGTGTGGATTAAGAAGATAAGACATTCATATGGGATACTATTTAGCTATTGAAATAAAAAGGAAATCTTGCCATGTGCAACAATATGGTAGAACTGAAGGGAAATATTCTAAATGAAATACATCAAAGGAGAAAGACAAATACTGAATGACTCCACTCATAGGTAGAATGTAGAGCAACAAACAAAACTAAGACTAAACAAACCCTAGAGATCTATCTTATTGAAGAGTTGAGACTATTAGATGGGGAGATGGTTTTGGGGGAGCAAAGGTGGGAAGAGGTACAAAGGATTACAGTGGAGGATTATGGATGCTGGTGGTGATGTGTGATGACATATCTATGAAGAGTAGTAAAACTATGTCTCCAAATCATGTAGTATTAGAAAGCAATTTCATGTCAATAATAATAATTTTTAAAAAGCATAAGCAATAGGCCCCCACCCAACCTGGTGGCTCAAGGGGTTAAAGCGCAGCACTATGAAGCTATCCATAGCCATTACAGCCTGAATTCTATCTCCTCGAATGGCATGGTGCTAACCCACAAGCCAGCAAACCTCTCCTATCTCACCTATTGTTCCCCTTAGCAATATATTTTAGTCAATCTGCCTGTTCTGCTACCCAGTCTGTCTCTGGTAGATCCTCTCGCCCCCTCCCCCCCCCCACAACCCCAGTTCTTGTATGCATAAATAAATAATCCTTTAAAAAAAAAAAAAGCATAGGCAATAAGAGTAAAAATAAACGAGTATGATGTATCAAACTAAAAATTTCTTCACAGCAAAGAAAGCAATCAGAAAAAAAAGTCAACCTACAGAATGGGATAAAATACTTGAATATAGTAGGGATTCCTATAATTTAATACTAATGCATGAAAATTCCAATTAAAAGTTGTACTAAAGATTTGAATAGATGTTTCTCCAAAGATGTATAAATGAAGCACTCCCTGGTGGCACAATGGGTTAGGACACAGCACCACAAACTAGCTGCAGCTGATTCAATGTGAGTTCAATCCCCAGCACAGGGGTGATCCACATGGTGCAGCAGGCCTCTCCTGTCTCTCCTGCTGCTCCCCTCATCAGTGTACTTCTTCAATCTGCCTGTTCTGCTCCCCACTCTGTCTGGTGAATCCTCTCACTGCCCCTACACCTCTGGCCTGTACCCCAGTTACTGTATGCATAAATATATAATTTTTTTTTAATTTACAAATGAACTACAGATTAACAGAAAAAATCTGTCACAGTCACTAATCCACAAGGAAATGTTCAAAGCTACAATGAGATAATGAGCTTACACTTGTCAAGATGGCTATTATCAATAGAACAAAAAGTGTAGGTAAGGAAATGGAGAAAACAGAACCCTTGCATGTTGTTGGTAGCAATGCAAAATGAAATAGCTGCTATCAAGATACAAGCTAGAAATATAATCTAGTAAACCTACTTTTGAGTACTTTTGAAGAAATGAGAGACAAAGAGATATTCGCACTGCTGCATTTATTCCATCCCTGTTCTCACTAGTCAGCATTTAGAAACAAATTAAATGTACATCAGTAGATGGACAAAGAAAATGTGTCATATACATATAATGCAATATATTCAGTTTTGAGGAAGAAATAAATTGTGCACTATGAGATAACATAAATGAGTCCGAAGACATTATACGAAGTAAAATAAGCCAGTCTCAAAAAAGATGACTACTGCATGATTAGACTTATATTAAATATCTAAAATAGCTAAATTTATAATTCAAAAAGAAGAACATGGTTGCCAAGAGCAGTGGGGGCATGTTTTTTTTTTTTTTTTAAAGATTTACTTATTTATGCATACAGAACTAGGGTATAGGCCAGAGGTGCGGGGATTGTGAGAAGATTCACCAGAGACAGAGTGGGGAACAGAACAGGCAGATCGACGAAGTACACTGCTGAGGGGAGCACTGCTGAGACAGAAGTTTGCTGCATCTTGTGGATCACCGCTGGGGTGGGGATTGAAATTGCACCTAAGTGGCCATGGCCAGCTTCGCAGTGCTACACTTCAACCCACTGCACCACCAGGAAAGGTCCTTGAGTTGCACATTTTTAAAGAGGTGAGCTCTCATGTTAAGTGTTCTTACCACATCAAATTACAATAAAATTAAAACACAGTTAAATCTAACACACAAAATGCACCCCCTCTCCCACTATAAATTAAACAATGTTTGCAATACAAATAATGACGAGATACATTTATTCATGTTCTGTTTTCACCCTTTCTTTTGTATTTTTTTATTTGGCAGAAACCAAAACATATTGCCAAGTTTCATGTCATCAATTAGAATAGCTAGACCTTAAACATTATTTAAGTTTCTTTAAATAGTTCTTAAGATTATCACTTTTTATAGGATACAATTTTATAAGCCCCAATAATAAAAAATTCTAGATAGAATCAAAAAAACAGAATTATCAGAAACTTCACATAAACTTCTGACTACATTCAGTAAACTAAAAAATAGGCATTAGGATTTTTAACAGCAATTTGTGGTCATATTCAAATTCATCTTTCTTTTTCTCATTCCCAAATTGTTAATTTTAATTTAATTCAATTGTAATTCATCCTGACGTGTTAGTGACTCTTCTAGTTTAATTTCATTTTGGACAGTATACATAATATGTCTAAGATTCTATGAGTTTTTATCCAGTTTCAGATCTCAATTCCAGTCTTATTAATGTAAAAAACACCAATTTTTTCCAATGGCAGCTATTTAAAAATATGTATGATCTCAATAAAGAATTAAAGAGCTTCTAGCTTTCTAACATAATTTTGATTTATTTATCTATTAATTGACCTATCCCATAAACAGAATTTTTCAGCACAAGTAAAACACAATTTTTTTTTTCAGATCTAGCTTACTCTATGAGAAAGAAATGTTCGCTAAAATGAAATCCTCCTTACATTCATACTTTATATGAACTTCTCTATTAAAAACAAAACAACTAGTCCACGTCATAATCAGTTTGGGTAATCTCAACATATAGTTTTAATGGTCACGTGGAACTCTTAAAATTCACCAAACACAGACTAGTACCATTTGTGGTCAACAGAACTTCTTTAGTTCTTCTAAATGTACACAGATTTATGAACTATCTATGAAGAAACAAATGGTCTAACACTATTTAAATCAGAGTAACTATGATCTGAATATTCACATCATATATTGTTGCTCTCTTCAGCAAAACTGCTTGACATCTTAACACCAGAAAATGAACTTGTGTGGTGAATAGGCTTTGAGACACCTTTGAGTTTCAGTGAAATAAAAAGAGTGGGAAGGACAGATTAAAGAAGGCATATAGAAAGGAAAACGTACTGATGTCACCTTCTGTGATATATCAATTTTTCCTGACTTGTGTGGCTCATAAATGTCACTGAAATAATGGTGATATGGTAACCATTTTTTTTCCTTTAAGATTTATTTTCTAAATAGCACCACAAAGGAATCTGAGCTCTTCCTATCTTCTACCTCACTACATATACACACATACTGTGGCACAAATAGCTGAAGATATGATTTGAGATCATTATAATAAAGAATAACTTACAAAAATTTATACCACTTATATATAACAGAGCTATACTGGTAGTGATTTCAACAAGATTAAAGGCTACAGAGATGCAGGGAATCTACCTTATCATTTGAAACCATTTATACTTTTCTGAAAGTTAAATATTCTATATGAAATCCTGTCCAGAATCTTTCTTTCTACTTAACATTGGAAACATTGCAATACATTACATATTAATCACAAAATTCTATCCAATTCTAAAAATAAAAATATAGCTAAAATTAAATCAGTAAAACACATTTATAAGTCTCTTACATTTAACGAGTGAAATACTTAAA